GAAAACCTGTCCCCTTTGCAAAAATGGACATGCAGAGGGTTTGGAAGGCTTCTGACTTGCCTTGGAGCAGCAGCAGATTTGATGTACTCACACTGTAGCTGCACTTCAAATGCAGGCCACATCGCAGGCGAAGTAGTGTGATGAGCTTGTGTTGAAAGCCATAAGAGAATCCTTCTTTCCTTGTCACAACTGGACACATGCCCACAAGAATCTCTGTGTAATGAATAGTTTCTTTCCTAAGGAATCCCTTTAGAGCAGAGCAAATAGGAACGATAAGCCCTTAGGGTTGGCAGTGGCAAAGCAGATGGAGTTCCAAATTCTTCTAGTAGAATTTAAGAAGTTGCATTAGTTATATGGTTTCTAATAAGGTGCATGCAAAAATGAAACAACAGAAAAACAAGTAAAAACTGCCCATTTAAATAGAGTGTTATTCAAGATTGTCCAGGATTTTGAAATAGATCATTAATATGGTGTTTCTTTGCTAGCGTATATAGGATTGGTAATCCTAGCTTCAATTGTAATAAATAATCTTTTGTACAGTGATGCTTATAGTTACTGCCTCCATTTTCTTCAACTTGCTAAACATTCCCTATTCTTTGGGGACAGAAATTTCTATGGTGAAAGAATGGGAGCCTATTTTCCAATGTTTCATGGTTGCTTACATTAAGTTGTAGGTCAAGAATGAAAAACTTTTGGTCTATGAGGAATTGAACAAGTTCCTGTCTCTTTTATATCCCTGGTGCTAGTTTTCCCCATAGAGAAAAGAGTGGAGCAAAGTAGAAATGTCCTTGCAAACACACCAGTTTACAATCTGTGTAGATGCCAATACAGATGGGTCTTTCCTTGGGTAAAAAAATATTCTTCTGCCCCACACTCCTGTAAACATAATTCAGCATCTATTTTATGCTAATCTTTGCCTTCAAAATAAGCACGTGATATAGTTCTGCAGGTAGTGTGATTTCAGAATGNTTACCTTAATTGAAATCGGCTTTCTGCCGCGGCGCCATTTTAAAGCGCCCTTCTGCTGCCGCGCTGTTGTCGCGGCGGTGATGACGCGCAGTGATGACGTCGCGGCTTTAGCGACACAATTTTTTATCACTGCTATTTTGACGAGCGCAGTTTTGTCGTGCCACGTAGCCGCAGTAGTGCTAAGGTAAGTGAGTAAGACAGCCCCCCAAAATAAGTCAATAAGACCGGGTCTTATTTTCAGGGAAACATAGTATTTGTAACATGTTCATCTGAATGATTGTGTGTTTTGGGGAACAGGCACAAATGACTCAAAATCAGTGGTAATCAGTGGTAAAGTAACTAAGAGAGACCATGATAACTATCTGGAGAGCTGTAAGCACAACCAAATCCAAGATCTTCCCTGAACCACGGGAATTCAGTTTTGAGATTGTTAGTGTCGAGCAATTCCCGATTCATTCCTCAAGATTCATTCCTCAAGAGTCCCCAACAGTTCTGTCAATACAAAATGGCCCTGGCTCTCCAAGGGTTCAAGTGTTGGCCAAACAACTGCTAGAAAATCCACAACTGCTGGCCATGCACATGACTTACTTCCCCAACCATTTGCTCTTGCTGTCTATTGACGTTTAATAGAGCCAATCAAGGAATATCTTTTAAAAAGCAGGAATCTCAGCTTTTGGAATCCTTGATGCTCTCTGTGCTTGGTTGCTTGCTTGCAAACTTTACATTGCCAAAATAGGTACTGTCATCAGTGCTAGTGAGTGTGGGGTTTGCTCCCTGTTTATATACATAGCTCGTTCTGCCAGTGCTGAGGTATGATTTTTTTTTCCTTGGTAGTTCCTTGATTAGGGTATTGATTTCTCCTTATTTGTTTGTTTCCAACTTTTATCATTTTTCTCTCTCTATCTATCTATCTCTCTTTCTCTCCCTCCCTCTCTCTCTCTGTGTCACTCTCTGTTTTCTTTCTCTATTTTTTCTCTCTCTTTTTCTGTCTCTCTTTTCTCTGTCTCTCTTCCTCTTTTTACTTTCTTTCTTTTTCTTTCTTTCTTTCTATCTCTCCCTCTCCCTCTCCCTCTCTTTCTCTCATCTCTGTTGATGACCAAGATAATTTGTACAAAAACTTACAAGCAAACCATGTGAGCATTTTTAATATGTTCCCTCCAACTCTCCAAGAGGGGAAAGTGATCTTACATGGAGGTTTCTTCCATCTCTGTAGAGAGCTCTTGCACACTTCTCTATCTCCTTTTTTAGGGAACCTGAAAGTCCTGAAATTACATACAGGTAGTCCTTGACTTACAAAGTTCATTTAATGACCATTCAAACTTACAGCAGCACTGAAAAATGTGACTTGCGATCGTTTTTCATACTTATGACCGTTGCAGCATCCCCATGGTCACATGATCAAAATCCAGATGCTTGGCAAATGGTTCATATATTTATTATTATGACAATTGCAGTGCCCCAGGATCATGTCATCAGCTTTTGTGACTTTCTGACAAGCAAAGTCAAACATGTTGCTAACTTAACAAATGCAATGATTCACTTAACAACTGTGGCAAACAAAGTCGTAAAATGGGGGAAACTCACTTAATAAATGTTTCATTTAGCAACATTAATTTTGTGCTCAATTGTGGCCATAACTCAAGGACTACCTGTAGTCCCATGATTATCTAGACATTGATTTATGCTAATGAAGTCCAGTCTAAAATTATTTTGCCCCTTCTATTCCATATGCAGATGTCAGCCAGTTGGCAATTGATTCTCACTGCAGTGTTGGTATTTTTTTATTACGTCTTAGGACAGAGCAAGGCTAATTTAACGATGAAGAATAAGTCATGCAGCAACATACACAGCTCTGTTTTCCAAGAATATGGTACATATTTTATAAATAACACTCAAAATCTATTGCCCGGGGCAATCCTTCACCCTGATTAATGAAACAGCTGGCTCATTTTTTTTATACCAACATTTCTTTATTAAACATTCACTAAATATAGAACAGGTTCATTCACTGCAAAAGTCAAAATAGATACCGAAACAAAAAAAAATATAGAAAAGCACAGAAAATATCAGCAATCTCAGGCAGCCCCATTGAATGTACTTGTATTTGGTTTAAGTTGTAGCAGTGTGTAGTTACTGGACCAAATGCAGTACACCCTTCCCTCCAGAGGTTACAGATGGGTAGTAGTCACATTTAATTAGTTATCCTTCTTAAGCCCTTAACTTTGTGAAGAAGATCTGTATTCAGAGATTGAGGCGTATGTATCTGAGCTTTACTGGATCAGGGCAAAATAATCCTGGAAAGGATTTAAGATTTTATACCTTGCCTGGCCCATCCTGGCCCCCTCCAAATAGTCTCAGTCTGCGTCCTCTAGAATTCCCTGGTTAGGAAGGCAATGACACAAAACTGAGTTGTAGACGTGAGATCTCCAGTTTGGGATCCCTAGAGGGGCCGCACCAGGCAGGATTTCAAATAGACATTCTTCAACCTACTAGCTGTCATACCCAAGCCTAGAGATGAGACAATGAGATCCATTTGAGTTCAAATCTTTTATTTGCTCTCGGCTAATGGACAAAATCTTGCCAAACTAAAGCTATAACCTCCCAATGCACTAGACAAGGGATTTCAAACTCAATTTCATTGAGGGCTGTAGCAGGGTTGTGTTTGACCTTGGGGGTGGGGGAGAATGGGGGCGTGGCCAGGATGGGCGTGACCAGCTCGACATCACTCGTGTTGGAGCTGCCTGTGGTGGCCTGAGCACCTTGCCAGGAAAAATGGCGGCAACGGCCTCCTGCAACCCTCTGCTAGCAAAAATGGAGTTCAGGAGGGCCGCATGTGGCCCGCGCAAGCTCTGTTTTTGCTGGCAGAGGCACCATGGGCCAGTCCTTTGCTGTTTCCAGGGGGACCCCAGGGGCCAGATCTAAGCACCCCATGGGCTGAATCCGGCCCACATGCGCAGAACAATCTTCATTGAAAAAATGAATTCCCCCGCTTTTTTTAATAGTATGCACATGCCAGTCCCAGAGAGGTCCCAGAGATGGGCTGTTTTTTTGCAAAAACTGAGGCCTTTTTTTGCCTTCCCCCCACCTCCAGAAGCACTCTGCAGGCTTTAGCAGGGCTGGGGGAAGGGAAAAATGCCCCTGTTTTTGAGAAAAACAGGTCATTTTTTTGCAAAAATTGGGGCATTTTTCCTTTCCCCCAGCCCTGCTGAAGCCTGCAGAGTGCTCCTGGGAGCTAGGGGAAGGCAAAACCGCCCCTGTTTTTGAGAAAAACAGGTCATTTTTTTGCAAAAATTGGGGCATTTTTCCTTTCCCCCAGCCCTGCTGAAGCCTGCAGAGTGTTCTTGGGGGCCGGGGAGGACAAAAACTTTTTTTTCTTACTGGGTAGTTTGCAGGCACACCCTTAGCTCTGAGGCTGGAGCCCCCCCCCATCAAAACTTTTCACCACCGTTTCGGTGGGCATGGCTTGGTGAGAGGGTCATGTGACTGAGTGTGCATGAGTGACGTCACGTTGTCCAGCCCACTCAGTCACATGCCCCCCCTCTAGCCCCGTCCACTGAACCGGTAGTAAAAAAAATTGAAACCCACCCCTGCCTGGGACCCCTGCTTTGCACGGTGACCATTGTTGGCAGTGATATCCTAAACTTGCAGTTCCCGAGCATTTAATTTTTCTTGTTGGTTTCTCTCCAGGGCGTGTTTGGTGAGAAGCCCGCGTTGCCTGAATACAAAGTGGCTGCTGCTCGCAAGTCGCCATTCATCCTGCTGCATTACGGTACCTTCAAGGCTGGCTGGGACGGACTGATTCTCCTGGCCACGTTGTACGTGGCTGTCACAGTGCCCTACAGTGTCTGCTTCAATGGCACCAAGGATGAAAGGCTTCCAGAGACGTCTCGTGCGCCCCCCAGTGTCTGTGATCTCTCTGTTGAAATCCTTTTTATCTTAGGTATGGGGACAGGTATCAGCACCTGGGAGGGTGGGGCATGTTGGCAGCCTTCAGGATTAAGATGCAAACAGTCCCCTGTTTAATTCCTGATGTTCCAAGATAGAGGAGAATCGGAGAGCAGCTATCGCTGGTCAGTGTAAATACAGGTTGTCCTCAACTTACAATCATTCATTTAGGGACTGCTTGAAATGACAACACTGAAAAAAGTGACATCTGACTGGTCTTTTCACTTACGATGATCCCAGTATCCCCAAGGTCACATAATGAAAATGTGGGCACCCAGCAACTGGCATGTCTTTACCACAATGGCGGCATTCCAGGGCCATGGAGCGCCATTTGCATGCCTTCCTTCCTTCCCTTGGTGACATTCCCAGCCAGCTTCCAACAAGCAAAGTTGGATTTGATTCACGATCACACACAATTCATTTAATAACGGCAGTGATGCACTTAAGAACCATGGCAAACAATATAAAATCAGGCATGACTCACTTAACAACCGCCGTGCATAGCAATGGAAATTCTGGTCCCAATTCTGGTTGTAAGTTGAGCACTACCTTTAATACTGAACTTGATGGGCAATCATGCAGATCGACTCTGAAACCCTGCAGGCCTAATGGTGTTTGAAGTGCAGAGACTGTTAGAAAGACTCTCATTTGGGAATTTGGCAACTGGAATCCAAGAAGTAGGCTCTGGTTTTGAATAAAGCCTGTGAAGATTTGTGATAGCACTAGCAATAGCACTTAAGACTCATATACTGCTTCACAGTGCTTTTACAGCCCTCTCTAAGCAGTTTACAGACTCAGCATTTTGTCCCCCAACAATCTGGCTCCTCATTTTACTAACCTCGGAAGGATGGAAGGCCTACTCAACCTTGAGCTGGTGAGAATCGAACTGCTGGCAGCCAGCAGAAATAGCCTGCAATACTGTGTTCTAACCACTGCACCACCATGGGTCTGCCTGAAAAGTTCTTTGCTTCCAAAATTGGAGATTGTTAAGGGACTGGGAACTGTGGTCCCAGATCAAAATTGCACCATGGAGCTAGATCCTGCTTGACCAGCTCAGAGGATTTCTTGCTCATAGCTGGCTTGAAGAGAGCCCTTTTTGCTTCCCTCCCAGGTCTTCTGACTCACTTGTAACAAGCTAGGGCCTTCCCAGGAGGTGATTTCCTTTCACTGGCAAAGGAGTTGTTTGGGGTGACCTCAGCTATACATGTGCATCACTCCGTGGCTTCCGCTCAAGCGACCATTTGCATAGTAAGAAAAACAGATGATGGTAGGCTCACAGCTTGAAAGCATCAGGTGGTGAGAGTATTAAGTAGCCTGTCAGCATTCCAAATAGCATCAAAAATCAGAGTCCAAGGCAAAGTATTGCTCAAAGTTCAAATTTATTAAGAGAGCCATATTGGCACATCTGGGAAAACCCGAATCTGTAAGCTTCCTGTTTTTCCCCACCTAGTTGAAAGTTCAAGATCTCCCCCCCACACCCAAAAGTCCATCACATGGTCCAATCTCCCACTGCCATGCTTGCAGTTCCACCATCCAGTTCTGGTCAGATGTAGAGGTGCAGAGACAAAGGATGACCTTGGCTTTCTAGAAAGAATTTTGTTATGGCTACATCTCATCTAACTCTG